TGTACACCTTCGTGGTGCGCGACGAGAACAGCAGCGTCTACGCCGAGGTCTCCCGGCTGCTGCTGGCCACCGGCCACTGGAAGAGGCTGCGGCGCGACAACCCGCGATTTAACCTGATGCTGGGCGAGCGGAACCGGCTGCCCTTCGGGAGACTGGGTGAGCCCCGCGCCGAGTCCCGCCGCCCCGCGCCCGGGGCGGCCCGTTAGGACGAGCGCTTTGTTTTTTACAGGACCGCCCCCCCCCCTCCCCCGGTCCGCGTCCCTCGGGAGGTCAGAAACGGACCCATCGCGTCTAATGCCTTCTCGCTCCTAAGTCGCATGCGGGCGGGAGGCCGCAGCTGCCTGCTGACAATGGCCGCGCCCTGCAGCCCGGGGGGCGTCGGCCGCCGGGCCGGGGCCCGGAGACCGCGTGTGCCCGCGACTCTCGGATCGACGCCCCAAGTCCGGCCTGGGGGCTGGACGGAGCGCAGGGCGGCGAGGCGTTTGCTGCTTTTCTGCACGGAGAATTCGTGGCGCCCGACAGTTGTGTGGAAAACCAGCAACCGAGGACTCTGCTTCAGTGTCCTGGGGGTTGGGAGAGACCTCGGGATCCTTAAAGCAGGAGCTGCAGAAGTGGCCGTAGCCCAGAAATGGGCGAGGAGAAGGTATCTGGTTTAGCATTCACCAAAGAACACGTTTCCAGAGGTGGGCGTTTGAATGCAGGCTTTCTACCAGGCCGGCTTGCCCCTGCCCTGAGCTCAGCCCTTCGCCCTGGCTTCTCCCAGGAGGTTCTGTTATTCGCATAGTGGAGTCAGATCGCCACCAGCACAATCCACGTGTCAGGCTGTCTGAAGGACCCAGGGGGAAAGAGAGGACCAGGGGCGGCTTTTTTAAAAGATGTTATCCAGAAGTTGACTGGTTACTTAGTTCCTGTCTCACAGACCTAAGCACGGTGTCATGACCGGCCTCGCTGCCCACTCACCTGGGAAGTACAGCTATACTCTGGGTAGCCAAGTTCCTGCCCAAATTAAGCTGGAGTGAGGGATATTACCAAAGATGAGAATTGATACTGAGCAGGACTCATCTCTGCCTGGGGAGGCAACTCAAGAAAGAGCCATGTTCAATGCCCTGCAATGGAGAGGGGGTTTAGAAATAGGTGTGGTCAGGGGTTGGAGAGATTCCACCAGCTAAACACTGGCCATTTGGAATTGACTGGCCCTAACTCATAGAGCTGAGCCCTGGTGGCCTAGCAGTGGAGAGAGATGAGGCTTTCTACTCCCCTGAAAGATTACCCCAAACCAAACTCACTGCTATCCAGTGGGCGCTTACAGAGCTGCTGTGAGTCAGCATCGACTGATAGCAGTGAGTTTGGCTTGGGGTTTTGAAGGTGCTGGAGGCACGAGGGGAGGTTATGGCATAGCCTTGCTGACATTTTTTTTTTCTTTGACAAGGTACTAAGGGCACTTTTTCATTACCATACAAGTTTGCCCTCCTGGTATTTGGTCATCTTTGGTCACTCCATAGGAAGGGCTATTCTGACCCCTAGAAATGTCCAGTGACAAGGTGTCCCTTTCAGCCGTGCATCTCCTCAGGAAGCCTTCAGCAGAGAAACCACGTACCCTGCGAGAGGAGGGTGATGACTGCCTGTGTTTTCTCCCTGCTCTGCCCACTTCCTCTGCGGACTTGGCTTACCTTCCTCTGGGGACTTTAAAGACAGGAGAATCCTAACATGAAATGCAGAAACAGATGGCTTTGCCAAGGCCGAAAGGGGTGGTTGCTGACATTCTCCTGGCGTCCCATGCTGACGTTTCTTGCTCTGGCTGGCAGAAGCCTATTGGGCCCAAATCCTAAGCAGGTGCCACAAATTCAGTAGATGATCAGTAGGTGTTTGGTTTTCAATGGGAAAAGCCCTCAACAAAAGTCGTTGTGTTACCTGCAACATTGGAGAGATTTACCTTTCACTTAAAACACATTAAGGAACCTTGACCCTGGAGGCAGAGTGGTTTACATATTGGGCTGCTAACCTTAGGATCAACTGTTCAAATCCACCAGCTCCTCTGTGGGAGAAAGATGAGGCTGTCTATTCTTGTGGAGATTTACATCCTCAGAAACCCAAAGGGGCAGTTCTGCCTGGCTCTATACGGTTGCTATGAGTTGGAAAAGACTGGACAGCAGTGAGTTTGGTGTGACTTGGGTTTTTTTGGTGGTGGTTGGTATGGTGGTGGTAGTGGCACAGTGGTTAAAATGCTCAGCTGCCAGTGGGAAGGTCAGTGGTTCAAACCCACCAGACACTCTGGGCAGGAAAGATGTGGCAGTTTGGTTTGTAAATAGAGATGGAAAGCCCTGGAAACCCTATGGGGACAATTTTATGCCCTGTAGTGTTTCTGGGAGCCAGCATGGACTCAGAGTTTTGGTTGTAAAGTGCACTGTGGAAGGCTGGTCGTTTAGGTTGAGGGTGGGGCCCCTCTGCCTTAGCAGAGACACAGAGGCAGCTAGAGCCTAAGGTTGCGCGCTGTTGTCAAATGAATTCTTCTTTCTTCTGGCATCCTCAAATCCCTCTTCCTGGGTTTGGTCTATTTTGATATTTTTTTCTGAAAGTGCAGCAAACTGTTAGGGTTTTCAGCAAAACCAGAGACTGAGGGTTTTGTTTGCACCTTCTCCGCTCTGGTTGTTAGAGGAAGGGGCATGCAACCAGTGAGAATGAGTTTCCCTTCGGACCAGTGCACAGAAGAAAGTCCTCATGGCCTCTGCCCTCCGTCCTTCTGCCAGCGGCTCTCCGGCGGCCCGCTAGAGGTGGACATGATGAAGAGCAGGAGCTGGTAGCTCTCCTGCCTCCCTTCGCTTCTGTAGAAAGCCAAGGTCCGGATGTGGAAAGCATGGCTTTGTTGAAGTAGCCTGACGGCACATAGATCACAAGTCAGTGCGTCGGTGGATGTATGGATCCTTGTATCCCAAGGAGGAGCCCTGGTGGTGTGGTGGCTGTGCGGTGGACTGCTAACCTCTGGGTCAGGTGTTTGAAACCACCAGCTGTACCGAGGGAAAAAGACAGGGCATTTGTCTCCCATAAAGAGTTATAATCTTAAAAACCCACGAGGGCTGCTCTACCCTGTCCTATGAGGTCAGCATTGACTCGGTGGCATTAGTTGGCTGGGAGGATATCCCTAAGGGAGGAGCACAGTGGGGATCAGAAAGCAGGGAAATAGAAAATCTTCCTGTGCTCCCGAGAAGAAGCAAAGGCAGCAGTGGTCTCTGGAAGGCTCTTTTGGTCTGGTAGCATCCACTGTGGGGAGGGTAAGAAAGGCCAGTGGCATGCTGAGAGAAATGGGGGCCCCGGGGACATGACAGCAAAATTGTTCCATTTCTAATGACCCGTCGTGGGATGGAAGGGATGAAGGCTCACCCTCACACAGATGTGTTGTCTTTTGCTTGCTGGTGCTGATGTTGTCCCGCTGTCCTTCTGAGTCCCCTCTTTCCTTCTTAGGTCATGAGCCGGGGCTGGTGCAGTTGGTGAATTACTACAGAGGAGCTGACAAACTGTGTCGGAAAGCTTCGTTGGTAAAGTAAGTGTTCGCTAAGACCTCGCTGTTGAATTTCTTATAAAACCAAGTCGTTTGTGTTGTAACTTTCAAAGTGAAGAACTTAACTAGGAGGTATGGAATTGTTTTTTAAAGGGCAAAATACTTTTATTTAAACAAATAAAAGCAATCAAATACCTGTTGTGGCGTGTCCTCTGAGCTGCTGTGATAGCAGCCCCGAACTATGCCAACCACTGCTTTCAAGACTGCCAACCAGCCTGCCTGCAAAGCAGAGCTGGAGACAGATGTTGAGTGTAAGTCATTTATTAGGGGGGGCTTCTTGCAAGCAGCGTAGGCCAGGGCAAGAGGCCAACTGAGCGGTGGTGTGTGCTGAAGCCACAGCCCCTGGAGCTCTGCAGTAAGACACTGCCTTTGTCCCCTAAAGTTGACAAAACAGAAGCACCACAAGCTCGTGGCTTCAAGGGACAGAAATGTCTCTCCACAAAGGAAGCTTAAAGACCAACGATGGGTCTCGGCCAAGTCAGTTTCCCCTGTGAGCCTCTCTCCTAGTCCCAGGTGTTGGCCGGTGACCCTTGCCACTCCTCGGTGGTCTTTAGTGTCTATCTTTCCCACTCAGGGTCTCTGAGTTTGTTCTGCACTTTTTCAACCTCAAAAGTGATTTGGTTTGGGACCCTCCCAACTGTGGCCTCATTAACCCAATAAAAGAAAGCCGTGTTTCTGAGCAGCATCACATGGGTGGATACACTGCTTAGGATTCCAATTTATTTGAGGTGAAACACAATTCAATCGATAGTAAGCACCATAGAGTTGTATTTTGAGGCAAGAGGATCAGGCTTCTGTACTCCAGTGTCCTTCTACAAGGAGGGTTGGAGGACATGGCTTTCCAGATCTTTCTGAACAAGGCCGGTCCCAGGAAAGGGGCATGAAGAGACCCTGGGTAGCCGACTCTCAGAGCAGAGAGGGTCCCTTCAGAAAGGAGATCTAGGCAGAATATCATGGTACCTACTGCCTGTCTTAGAGCAGTTGGGTTTGGGGGAGGTGTCGTAAAGAACAGAAATAGCATGAGGTGGAAGGAACCAGTATTATACAGGCACTGAGCTCTGGACTTGCCGGCTTGGGTTTTAGCACAGGTCTTCCTTTTATTAGCTTGGGCAATTCCCCTCAACCCTCTAAGTAGCCTCAAGGGGACCCTTGTAAAGCGGCTGTGAGTAGGAAATGAAGTGCTGTGTGCGAATTGTGTAGGGCAGCGGCCCGAGCCATGGTAGGCATCTGACCGCACGCTGTAGTTTCCGTCTCTGTAAAAGGGACATAATGATACAAAGGGACTTCAAAAGGTTTGTGGAAAGTTTTCATTTTCATTTTACCATGAACGTTTTGAAGCCCTCTCATAATGACCCCAGGGTCATTGTGAAGATTAATACAGCTAACTTCTGTAATTAAATCATTCCTGTCTCATAGTTCACACCGTATAGGTGAACACCCATCTGAGTATTATGATTACTATTATTGCTACAATTGCTATCATTTCTGGAGGTTAATACTGGGTTCGGCCCCTAACATCAGAAATGTAATAGGTCTTTAGTGTTCCTCCCATAATGACTAGTGGACATGAGTATGTTGCTAAATACGTCATTTAGGAAAGAAGGTTCTGGAAGAGAGGACTCAATGCAAAATGCTGTCCCACTAACATTTCTTTCTGGGCTCTGTTTGACGAGGTTGTGTGTGAATGGGATAGTTTCCAAATTTGTGTCTAAACACACTGCCTCTTTGGCTTATGCCTCACCAGTCCTCTCCAGAATCTGTTTTCCTGGTCCACTGGTTCTGTCCACAGGACAGGAAGACTTCTGGAAGTCTTCTTAGTCCATATTAGGATGCATTGTTCCTTCAGCATCTGGTGTAGAACTGAGTAGACAAGGAAAACACAATTGTTCATCCAGGTTCTTGATTTAGAAACTTATATAAAATGGTTATTCAGTCTTTTTTCTTTAAAAAAAAAATATTTATTTATTTATTTATTTTTAATCATTTTATTAGGGGCTCATACAACTCTTATCACAATCCATACACACATCAATTGTGTAAAGCGCATTTGTACATTCATTGCCCTCATCATTCTCAAAACATTTCCTCTCCACTTAAACCCCCCCGGCATTAGGTCTTCATTTTTCCCCTCCCTCCCCGCTCCCCCTCCCTCACGAGCCCTTGATAGTTTATAAATTGTTATTTTGTCATATCTTGCCCTGTCTGACATCTCCCTTCACCCACTTTTCGGTTGTCCGTCCCCCAGGGAGGTCACATATATATAGTTCCCAGTCTTTTTTCTCTTATGAATTGTTTCCCCCCTTAAAGGTAAAGGTAGCATTTTTGTTTTTCAAAATAGAAGGCAGAAATGTGGTGAAACAGTAACTAAATGATGTTCTGCATACTTGCGTGCTCACTAGCCATGATGAGGTGACAGGAATATGGGGTCTGAAGTCACAACTAGGTCTGATAGGTATCTTGACCTTTGAGCCTTGGACCCTTAAGCCGCTCTGAATCTTACTGGCCCATCTGTACAATGGTGATAATACCTGATCTTGGACCCTTAGTGGCATGTAACATGATCTGCCATGGGTAGCACCTTTTAAATGGGGGTGTCATTTTTGCAAGCTAGGGCTTGTTGTCATCAGTTATATGTTTTCCTCCTCCTCCTCAAGCATCCTCAGAGAGGCGATCATAATTCCAGGAGATAACTGCTTTTGCCACTGGGTCTGTATTGTACTACTTGTGCAGTTTGAGAAGACGCCCAAAGAGTTTAAAATCTGATCATTGTCATTCTAGTCAGACAAAGCGGTGGCTCAGAGAAGACAGCCAAGTTACTAGGACCACAGAAGTTAGAGTTTGTGTTAGGCAGGGTTCTCTAGAGAAACCAAACCAGGACACTTATGATTCTATAGCTATAAGAGGATAGGTTTACATATAGCGAGAAGGAATATAACAGCTAATTAGTCCACACAGCAGTACAGAGAGCTCAGTTCAACTCACAGGCTAGGGTCAAGGAAGCAGACAGTGGAGTCTACCCTCGGGCAAGACAGCAGAGTGGCCGGCAGGCAGCAGAAAGCAGGGTGGGCAGCACCAGTCAGTAGTGCAGAAGCAGGCCCCATAGAATCACATCACCAGCACAGTCCACCTGCAGTGTGGCAGATCAGGATCTACGGGGAGGCTCAGCCCACAGGTAGTACAGCACACAGTTGAGACAAAGGACTAGCTCACGCAGCAGCATGCTCATCCAATCACCAGGGAGAGAGAGAGATAGGAAGGCGGCCTCCCTGGAAAGCATTTATCTCAGTAGCCCTCCATTTAATCAGCTGTGACCTGATTAAACTCTGCCCACATGTTCCTATGGTGGCCTAGTTGGCACAACAAACCTAACTATCACAGAGTTAAACCAGATGCTTCTAATCTGGGCAAATGGGCTCGGTAGGTGGTGTGACCAGGCACCCCTCAGAGGGATTCCCCAGCCTCCCTGGGCTATCCAGTAGCAGCTTCCCCTGTCATCTCGAGGCGTTTTCAGGAATTTGAGAAAGGCTCCACAGCCTCAGTGTTGGACGCCTGAAGGGCCTTTCTAACCCTCATCTACATTGGAGGCCTGCACCCTACAGAGGCACTGAATCAATCTGTGTGCTTGCTTCCCACACGAGTTCAGGAGGCAGCAGAACCCGTGCCAAGGACTTCTCTCAGAAAGTGGGGTTGGCCCTGTCTAAACCAAACGGAGACCATCCTACAGAGCGGTCCAACGTTAAATTGCTCGGGGTGGTCCAGTTGTCAAGTCATTTTCCAGTAGCCACGTGTTTTTAAAAGTGCAGACCGGTGCAGTGTTTATAGTGGTTCTGCAATAAATCCGATTCTTATTACTTTGATGTGTATTCAATATAAAAAATGACTTCCTGACCCAAAGGGAGGAAATAGAATAGGATTGTAAATTCCCGTGGAATCTAGACTTTGTGGAGCGGTGGAGCTGCATGAACTCTTAAAACCATAATCCTGAGATCATCTTTAATCCTTAAATCAACGGTATCTCCTGAATGAGTCAGAATTGACTCCGTGGCAGTGAGGTTGGCTTTTTGAGAAGTCAGGAGCCCTGGTGACATAGTGGGCTAACACTCTGGTCTGCTAAACTCAAGATCAGCAGTTCGAATCCACCAAGGGAGAAAAATGGTCCATATGGGATCAGAGTGATAATAGCAACTCAGAAGATTAGACGGGAAGCCTTGAGGGCTGTGAATGGGGGAGGAGCAATCAGGAGGAGGGTGAGGATGACAGTCCAACTCGAAGAAGGTAATCCGTGTCAATTGAACCGCACACGTAGCGATTGTTGAATCAGCGTGCGTTTTGCTGGGGATAGTCTCAGCAACAGCACATAAATATTGAATGTAAAAATAGCAAATGAGAGTTTTACTTCATTGAGTCTTCAAAATCTGTTGTAGTTTTACATTTCTAGCAAATCTTGACTTCGATATTAAATTGGCATTGGCAGTAACTCGATCTGTGTTTAAGCTTCATCCAAGTCAAGTTGAAAAGCAGCTCTGCCTCCCCAGCTTGCTCTCAAGGAAAAGGTTTCCAGTCATTAAATGGATTACCAAACAACTAATTTCCCATTAATACCCACATCCACCCCAACAGAACCAGACCGGTATTTTTAGATAAGAACTGATTTGACTCTGAAGCAAAAGCATATCAATGTTAAAGCTACATCTGTCAAAGTTGAGTGAGTTCACCCACCGTGTCACCCACTCAGTCTGACTGCTTGTAGATTCCGTGAAGGTACTGACGACGTGGAGAAGCAGCTCTGAATTGGGCGGTGTCAGCACCGCATGCTGTACGTCTTTCCTAGGCGTTTGCGCCCAGTTTGCACAATGCTGTCTAGGATAGTGCAGGTCTTGGGCATGCTGAGTCAGGTTAGAAGGATGTGGGGATCATTATTATTGATTTTTTTTTATTATGAAATGGCAACATAAGTCCTGATACCCAGGTTAAGTTGCAAATAACTTTTTCCCTTGCTTGGAACTCTAAATGTATCTTGTTATGTCCAGTGTGCTATACATAAGAAAACATTAAGTCACACGGCTGTGTCTTGTCTTTGATTATTGGTTGAAAATAAGGATTTGATAAGCATCCCCTATATTTCAAGGAAGTCTGAATGAGAGTTAACAATACAGAGTGTCTTTTTATAGCTCTTCCATGGTTAATGATCACTGGTAAAGAGCAAGTATCATTGAATTCATTGTCTTGTTTCTCTCAACACTTCTATGAACTGGTGAATCTTTGTAGCATTTACAAGCGTGTGATGAGCCATTTTAACAATTGTATCCAGGATACTTCTGAGAGAGTCTGCTTGGGAAAACTGAACTCAAATGTTTTCAAAATGTATCACAGGAATGAATCTGTAATGGAAACATCAATCTCTTAAAAACCCAGTTAATCTACATTTTTAAACTAACCCAGCTGAAATCCTTACTATTATTCTGAAATTGTGATAGAAATGAATTTTTTATACATAGATGAAACTTTGTTAACAGGTACTTTAAAATGTGCCTATAATGAGTTTGGTTTTTTTTAGAATGCAAATTGACAATATTGTTCCATATATTTCAAAGTCCTTTCAGATAAAATATACATTCTGTATTTATTGGACAGTATTTCATGTGTCTTGTGGCTTATCAAAGTCTGAAAAAAAAAGGCTTTGTAATTTTAAAGTTTTGAATCAATTAATCTTTGATGCTTTTCAAAAGTCTTGGTACTCTATGAACAATTGTGACTTAATTGAAAATCTTCCACTTTCTGTAAAATACTTTTTTGAGTCTTTTCCTCACTGTTTCTTTCACTCTCCATTTGAAGTGCTTTTCACATTTATGCAAGAATCCAAGCCATTGTGTAGCTGACCAAAGTTACACCCTCAGATCCTGATGAAAACGTGTGTACTTTTTATTGGAGATTTAATTCTGATTTTAGATGTCTAATTTTATAAATTCTTTTCAAGGGGAAACTGCTTATTAAATCCATTCCTCATTTGCTGCAATTACCTTTTACACAGCAAACAAATGCCTTGTTTTCCTTTGGCTCCACTACAGCAACCTGCAGTTGCCATTCACAGTGGGGTTTGTGGTGCACCTTCTTCCATTTTCTTCTTTTTCCCACCTTTTCTGTGTTGATTGGAGTACCAGCCTCAACGTTTCCAGTGGCTCCTTCATCGGTTGCATGCATCCATTTTAAATTTAAGAATTTGTCCATACTTTTTTTTTAATTAAAAAAAATGATTCTCACTTTAATAACTGGTTGTGGCTGACACAGCTATCGCTGTAATTGTGCTCTCTGCATAACAAACAATTTGCTTGGAAGCACACAAGCATTTGAATTGAATCAATCCATTGTCCCTGTGAGCAGTGGTGTGCTTATGTGTCATACTTGAAGCTAGCATGTGCCTGATGCACACACAGTGTAACAGCATGGCCATGCGGTGAGATGTCAGCCTGTGGGAACAATGAAGTTGTGCTTAATAGGAAACATGTTTGCCCTGCTTCCATTTTAAGTTAAAGTTGAAACGTATCTCCATTGCTCCGTTGAATTGGCTGCCTTTCATGCGGCTAGTGACCACCGTATTGGGCAATGCAGATAAACAGTTTAACACTCAGTGAGTTTGAGATCACTGTTTTTATTTTGCTTTGCTGATGCTTTAAATCCCAGTACCTTTCAGATTCTAGTGCCCTTGATGTTGAAAGAACTTTATTTTTAAATCTCCAAGGTACTGGTTTGGGGTACCCCACCGCCTCCCCCATCATTCTGTTATTTGTTCATAAGTTGGGTTTCACAGGTGAATCTTAACATGAGCTTAATGTGAGCAGTTCTGTTCTAAATGGAAGCATGGGCACCGATCCGTGAAAACCTGTGCACAGTTTTGGTAGGTTCCTCCCTGGCTCTTCGGTTTTTGCAGAGCCAAAGGTGGTATAGAGTTAGAACTTCCTTCCAGGCTTGGGTCCTGGCTGTGCCATTTACTGCATTTGTGATCATGGGAAATTTGATTCATTCCTCTGGGTCCCCGTTCCTACTTTGTGAAATGTACTTCTAGTGCCACTTGCCCTGTGGGTGAGACTGCAGTCGATTTAGTGAGAAGCCCTTGATGAGCCTGGGCCTTCATGCTTGTGAAATGCTTTGCTCGGTGCTTGACTTTATCTCCCACTATGCCGTGTCCTTTTGAGAAGAGGGGCATGTTTATTGTTGATCACTGGTGTCCTGTGTCCCATTGAAATATTTCTTCTCTTTTCCGTCACTGAAGCTCGGTGAGCTAAAAGGAGTAAATGAAGAACTGAATTACATCCTTAGAGAATTCAGATTCCTAAGTCGCGTCCTCCCCACTAGAAAGCTAGGGCTAAGAAAGTATCTTTGTTATTTAGATATAATTCCCCACACTTTTCCACTTTGGTTTTCAGTGGGTCTGGCTTAGTTATAACATGCTTATTGAAAAGTTGTTGGTTCCAGATTACTAAAGGATAAAACATTTAGCCCCCTTTTGAATGAGTTGGGGTGTGCCTTTAATGTTGCATATACACCTGTGGGCTACCCTGTGGTACCTTAGAGGTGGTCTGAGAGAGGCCAAGAACAAATAATTGCCCGAGAGCAGCAGTTCTCAACCTGTGGGTCGTGATACCTTTGGGGGTCGAATGACTCTTTCATAGGGGTCGCCCAATTCATAGCAGTAGCAAAATTACACTTAGGAAGTAGAAACAAAAATAATTTTATGGTTGGTGGGGGGTCAGCACAACATGAGGAACTGTATTAAAGGACCATGGCATTAGGAAGGTTGAGAACCACTGCCCTAGAAGAAGCCACCTTTGACCATCCAGGTCCCTGGCTACCCCTTCCTCCTCCCAGGTATATGGGAGAAAGCACCCGCCTTTCTGAATGGAGTTGGCCATTCTGGACAGATTGAAGTAAAAATTGAGACTGACCCTCTGTCATCTACCAGGCTAATCAAGACCAGCCCAGAACTGTCTGAGTCCTGCACGTGGTTCCCTGAGTCCTACGTAATATATCCAACTAATCTCAAGACTCCAGTGGCTCCAGCCCAGAATGGAATCCACCCACCAATCAATAACTCACGGACAGATGAGAGAGAATTCTTCCTGGCGTCTTATAACAAAAAGAAGGAGGGTGGAGAGGGCAACATTTGGATTGCAAAGTCCTCGGCTGGTGCCAAAGGTGAGTTGGCAGTGCTGCCCCCTTCTTTCCCTGCAGGTCTCCACCACACTTTGTCTGGCTCACATGGTCGAGGTCGTCTTTAGAGAAGTGACTGACTCTATTCCAAACTCAAGGGTAAGACATCATGTCACTTTACCAGTCCAAGCCCACTGCTGTCAAGACAATGCTGGCCCATCGTGACCCTAAAACACCCGAGTAGAACTGCTGCTTAGGGATTCTGAGAACGTAAACCAGGCAGCCTCATCTGTCTCCTTTACAGTGGCTGGTGGGTTCAAACCACTGACCTTTGAGTTAGCAGCCTGAGGCTTAACCCACTATGCCACAAGGGTTTCTTTTTTCATGTCAGATTAACCAAAACACTCACTGCTACCTAGGTGATTTGACTCATAAGACCCTACAGGACAGAGTGGGATTACCCCTGTGGGATTCCCAGACCTTAACTCTTTACAGGAGTAGAAAGCCTCATCTTTCTCCCATGGAGTGGCTGGTGGTTTTGAACTGCTGATCTTGTGGTTAGCAGCCCAAGGAGGAGTAACCCACATGACTGCCTCATGTCAAATTGAATAACTACATGCCCTTCTGTTTAATGATAACTTCTAAATGTCTGTCTCCACTCTAGATCTTTCCCCTTAAGCATCAGACCCAACAGCACCCTTGACAACTCAGACATCTCGTTTCGAGTGCCTGATACCGCGCTCTTTATTACCTTCCCCGCTAGACCCACCCCGGCATGCTCCTCTTTCAACCTGCCCTGCTTAGTCAATCATGTCACTCTGCAGCCAGCTCCAGAGTCCAGAACTAGACGTCCCCTGTAACTGCTGTTGTCTTTATAGTCTGCACTGAGCACATGGCGTGCCTTGCAAGCTCTACCTGCTGAACCGGACTTTGATCTTCTCACGGCTCCCCCTCCTACGTCAAGGCTGCTGTTCTCTCCAGCTTGTGTGACAGCTCTGCCTCCTCACCAGCCTCCTTCACAGCGGCTCTCCTCCTCTCAGCGGAGGGGTGCTTTGACATTGTGAGCATGTTTCCCCCACTCAGCGCTTACCAGCTGGCTTCCCAATGTAATTAGAATGAACTCCAGATGCCTGATGGTGGCCCACACTATCTGACATTTGGCCATAGTTCTGATCCCATGTTCTTCTGTCCTTGGCCTTGCTCATTCGACTGTAGCCACGAGTCTGCCCAGCTGTCTCTCTTAACACACCCAACATCTCTATGCACCTAGAGGGTGGCGGCGTGAACGGTTTTCTATTTCTGTCAGCTCAGATGTTGTCAGAGAAGGCTTTTCTAATCTAAAATAGACTCAGTGCCTTGTGCTTTCTAACCTTGCATCCTGATTCTGATTCCCCCCCCCCCTACTTGTTTTAACCCTTTCCTAGCACTATAGTCCCAGTTTATCTGTGTGTCTCCCCCGTCAGAATGTAAGCTCCTTATGAACAGACTCTGGGTCTTGTGCCTCTCTATAGCTCATCCCCCACCAAGTCAACTTTCATGGCAACTGCATAGAACAGAATAGAACTGCCCCCTTTGGGTTTCTGAGCCTGTAAATCTTTACTGGAGCGGAAAGCCTCATCTTTCTCCTGAAGTCCCCGCTCTACAGGTCTACCATAAATGAAGGCTTAAAATAGAGTCAGTTCCAAATGCAATGAGCTCCTAGGTGCAATGCCTCTCTCTGATTGCCATCCTGTGCTCTTTTAAAAAACCTTTCCACATTAAACTTACTTCTTGTATACCTTACTTCTTTTACCTGGCCATTGGTACTCTTTTATGATCCAGTGAACCAGCCTCCTCCTCAACCACGAGGCAGGACATCATGCTCCTATAAGTTGGAGATTGGGACTCTTGCCCCAAACCAGGGACCTCACCAGCTTCTCTTACCCCTATTGTGACCTCTTCTCAAGTACCGCCCCCCAGTTTTGGGTCTAATGCTTAAGAGGGGCATTTAGAAAGGGAAACTTTCATTGTTGTTGTTAAGTTGACTCCAACTCGTAGCAACCTCATGTGTAACAAAACCAAACATTACCCAGTTCCCACTGTCTTCTTGACCTCTGGTACGTGTGAACCCATTGTTCTGGATACTGGGTAAATCCATCTCATTCAAGGTTTCCAATTTTTTTTTTTTTAATTAATCATTTTATTGGGAGCTCTTACAGATATTATAACAATGCATAATTCAATTAGATCATCAGTTTAAAAACATTTTCTTTAAACTCAAACTCTTATTTTAGAAAAATAAAATTAATGTACTTCTTTTTAAAAAAAATCATTTTATTGAGGGCTTATACAGCTCTTATCACAATCCATACATACATCCATTGTATGTCAAGCACATTTGTACATTTGTTGCCATCATCATTCTCAAAACATTTGCTTTCTACTTGAGCCGTTGGCATCAGCTCCTCATTTTTGTCCTCTTCCTTCCCCGCTTACCCCTCCCTCACGAACCCTTGATAATTTAAAAATTATTATCATTTTGTCATATCCTACACTGTCCGATGTCTCTCCTCACACACTTTTCTGTTGTCCATCCCCCAGGGAGGAGGTTAGATGTAGATTCTTATAATCGGTTCCCCCTTTCTACTCCATCCTCCCAGTATCACCACTCTCACCACTGGTCCTGAGGGGATCATCTGTCCTGGATTCCCTGAGTTTCCAGTTCCTATCTGTAACAGTGTACATCCTCTGGTCTAGCCAGATTTGTAAGGTAGATTTGGGATCATGATAGCTTTTAAGAACTAGAGGAAAATTGTATGTTTCATCTGTATTACACTGCACCCTGACTGACTCGTCTCCTCCCTGTGACTCTTCTGTAAGGGGATATCATGTTGCCTACAGATGGGCTTTGGGTCTCCACTCTGCACTCCCCCTCATTCACAATGATACAGTTTTTTTGTTCTGGGTCTTTGATGCCTGATACCTTATCATGTTGACACCTCGTGGTCACACAGGCTGGTCTGCTTCCTCCATGTGGGCTTTGTTGCCTCTCAACTAGATGGCCCCTTGTTTACCTTCAAGCCTTTAAGACCCCAGACGCTATCTCTTTTGATAGTCGGGCACCATCAGCTTTCTTCACCACATTTGCTCATGTACCCCCTTTTTCTTCAGCAATCGTGTAGGGAAGGTGAACATCATGGTTAGTAGGACAAAGTGTTCTTGCATTGAGGGAGTGCTTGAGTGGAGGCCCAATGTCCATCTGCTACCTTAGTACTAAACGTATAAGTATATGCACATAGATCTGTTTCCCCATCGCCATATATAAATATATTTACATGTTTACTTGCCTGTATTTAGACCCTATAAATGCCCTGTGCCTCCTTGTTCTTTCCTCTTAATCCCTTTTACTTTCCTCTTGTCCCACTATCATGCTCAGCCTTCATTTGGGTTTCAGTCATTTCTCTTGGTTACATTGCCCTTGATCAAGCCCTATCAGGCCTCCTGTACCCTCCTCACCATAGATTTTGGATCACTTGTTCCTTTGTCCCTGGGTTTGTTAACACTCACTTCCTTTCCCCCACCTCCCCCTCTCCCATATCTCCCCGGAACCATCAGTTTCTCCTCCAGATTGTTTATCCCACCTACCTTATCTAGATAGACCTGCAGAGATAATAATATGTACAAAAATAAGACAGCAAAACAAAGCAACAGAAGAAAACAAAACAACAAAACCAATGACAAAAAATAGAAAAGCCTGTAAATAGTTCAAGGTCTGTTTGTTGACCTTTAGGAGTGTTTTCCAGTGGAGTCTGATGTGGTGCCACACCCTGGCCCCAAAGTCAATTTTTGGTGTTACCTGGAGACTTCGTTGCTCTGCTCCCCTTGCTGTTCTGTTGCACACCCTTAGTGTTTCCCTCAGTGTGGTGGGTCAGATCGGGCGCAATTCCCGAACTGTCTCCAGTGTTGTAACTCTTTCCCGGAATAGGAAGCCTCATCTCTCCCCCCCCTCCCCCCCCTGCGCAGTGGCTGGTGGTTTCAAGCTGCTGGCCTGGGGTTAGCACCTGAGCTTGTCACCACTGTGCCACCAGGGCCTCTTGATTTAGTCCCCAGGGTAAGCATACGGTGAAGGCGTTCAGCTCTCGCTGAAAGACTGTCAGTTCAAGTACATTCAGAGATTTAAAAAAAAAAAAAAAAGCCTGGTGATCTATTTCTGAAAAATCAGCCATGAAAATATATCTGAGTACAGCTGTTAAAAAAATGTTGTATCATTGACTTAATATTGATGGACATATAGAATGTTTCTAGTTTTGTTTCTCCTATGACAGTTCTGCAGGAAATATACTTGTGCCGTTCCTTTGATGCCCTAGCCTTCCTGATAGCTTTATAAAACAAAGTCTTAGAAGTAATCTAAGGCTAATCGTAGGCCACACACGTTCTTCCTTGCGAGAGGAACCTCACAGTAACCATTTGTAGAACAGCCTGTTGTTTAGAGTGTGCAGACACTTTGGATGCCTGTAAAGGTGATGTGTCACACACAATCCTAGGTGAAGTTAGTAAAGGTGGTGTCTCAGAGTGGTTTCTCTAGAGAAGCAAACCCCATGAAGCTTATATATGTACATATGGAGAGACATTTGTATCAAGAAATGGCTCATGCAGTTGTACAAGTGGGCAAATGCAAGTCCATGGGTCAGGTGGTCAGCTGGAGGCTTCTCCTGACTTGCGTAGCTTTGAGGGGTAATGAGTCCAGGATTGGCAAAAAGGTCACAGGCTGGTAGCTACAGAGTTGAATGAATCCAAGGTTGACAGGTCAGATGGCAAGCCTCTAACAGCTCTCAGATTGGCAGGCAGTATGGCAGACCATTAGCTTGAGTCAGAAGAACGGGAGATCAGTGAGCCAGATGCAGGATCCAGTCTCAACAAAGAGCAAGTAAGCTTTTCCACAGCATCCACTTATAGCAGAAGCTGGCCACATCCCTCGAAGCTATTAATCACACCAGGCTGTGACCTGAATAAGGGAGTTGTGTGCCATCCTCATCTCGCCCCATGATAGAGGCTTTACAGTGATCGGCTGTGATGAAACGTGACCATGTGGTCAGGTCATGGGAATTACTAGATGTTACCTGGCAAACCACTGAGAACCCAGGCACGTTCACACCAAATCTTCACTCACCGTTGGATAACTCCGAGTGCTCTTGTGGAGGAAAGGGTGAGGGTGAGACACTGCATGAGGAAGAAAGAAAAGAGTGAGCAGGCTCGTAAAAGCGTCCTGTGGGTGCTGCTCTCATTTCCTCCTGACTTGGTAGAGAGCGTTTCCTCTGGGGATGAACTGGACTAGTTTCTGCTTTGACTTTGCTGCTGTCAGGTGAAGGCATCCTCATCTCCTCCGAGGCTGCGGAGCTGCTGGAGTTCATTGACCACCAGGGCCAGGTCCATGTCATCCAGAAGTACCTTGAGCACCCTCTGCTGCTCGAGCCTGGTCATCGCAAGTTTGACATTCGGTAAAATCGGCTGCGCTTGTTTCGTGAATCTGAAAACGTGGTGTGATAGATGGTGAGGGGAGGGTGACATAGACTGTAATAACATGTTTGGTGATTTTTAATGTGCGACCAAAATGAAGCATGACTGAATGAAACTGAGCTTCTGTAGCTATTTTAAAATTTTTCATTCACTTCTGTTTTCTGGGAAATATAAACCAAGGGGAAAAAAGAAAGTATTAATCAAATTATGGGCTTACTTTTTTAAAAGCATATATTTTTTTATAAATCATTTTGGGCTTACTTTTTAAAATGTATTCCCTTTTACTAAAATGACTACGCAGAGGAGAGTACAAATATATGGGGCTTGCTTTTGGAAGAAGAAGAAAGATATATACATCGAACACATAATTCAGACACAACAGGTCACAAAACTGCTAAATAATATGCCCTCAATTCATTATCTCTGCCCCATTTTATATGAATTTCATGAACACATCACTATATTTCTATATTTGGAGTTTAACTTTATGAGCAAAGAATTTGACATTGACAAAGAGATTATGTGATGTTCTCCTGAGCTGACCCTTGATCTTGCTGTCATGATGTATGTATGTGATACACACATACACACAGTGTCACACCATATGCATGTATATGTATGTCTTAGACACCTACATACATACACATGCAATTTTTTCTGGGGCAGGGGGAGTAGGGTAGAGAAGTAAGTTCTAAACATATAATTTTACATAGATTATGTATGAATTTTATATATGGACTGCCTTTTAAACAAAATGTATTCTCTTTTTCACTAAGATGATCAATACTACACAGAGGAGAGTACAAATGCGTGGGGACTTGCTCGTGGAAAAATCTGAGAGCTGTGCCTAGAACTTACTAGATAGATAGATGTAGAGATATAATTGTAGAACTTACCTCCTCACCCTACTCTTGCTGCCCCCAAAGGTGTGGGGATTGATGTGTCCGATGTGGAGAAACTTTGGATGGCTTGACAACAATCATGTTTTTGCTGACTTGCAGGAGCTGGGTCTTGGTGGATCATCAGTATAATATCTACCTCTATGGAGAGGGTGTGCTTCGGACCGCTTCAGAACCATACCGTGCTGATAATTTCCAGGACAAAACCTGCCACTTGACCAATCACTGCATTCAGAAGGAGCTCTCGAAGAACTACGGGAAGTATGAAGAAGGAAATGAAATGTTCTTCGAAGAATTCAACCAGTACCTTACAAGTGCTTTGAATATTACCCTGGAAAGTACTATCCTACTCCAAATCAAACATATCATAAGGTATTGCAGTTGAGTATTTGTGGAGGTTCTCTGTTCTTGGAGGAGTTCTAAGGAGTTTGCTTCTTTCAAGGAATTGACCCATTTAAGTTGGCAAATTTATGCGCTGGATTATTCATAAGATGCTCTTATCGTCTTTGTAAGTCTGGAAGAGCTGTTATGATGCCAGTTCTCTCAGGCTTGATATCGGTAAGCTGTGTCTCCTCACCATCTTACCTAGGCAGATTGGCTAGAGGTTTATCAATTTCATAATTTTTTTCCAAACACCAACTTCTGGTTTTCTTCATTTTCACTATTGTTTTCACTTTCGTGTCTATGATTTATGTCTGATTCTACTTTATGTTCGATTCTACTGTATATTTGAGTCCACATCTTTTCCCCTCGACTCTTCTCAGGGTCTGATTTTCTCTTCTTTGTGGAGTTTTTTAAAAGGCGAGAGATTACATTAGATTATTCAAATACTTTTCTAATCTCCCTCATAACTTCGTCTTTGCCTCATGGGTGCTTAGAAATGTCTTATTTCATTTCCAAATATTTTGAGATTTCCCAGCTATCTTTCTATTGCTGATTTCTACTCTAATTCCAGTCTAGTCAAAGAGTGTATTTGAATGGTTTCATTTCCTTCTGGTTTCTTAGGATTTGTTTCATGGTAGGCACATGAAGTCTGTTCTGTGTCCACTGAAAATAATGTCTCCTTTGCTACTATCAGGTGATGAGTTTTGTAGAGGCCAGTTCAGTCAAGTCTTCTATGTGGTTGCTGATTTTATACTCTATTGTCTTTTCCACTGAGACAGAATTATGCATTTGTCTATTTCTCTTCCTGTTTGATCAGCATTTGCTTCATGTAATTAATATACGTATCTGTGATGAAATTCCTTATTTTGAAGTCTACTTTGTTAGTATTAATATAGCTACTGCAGCTTACTCCGTTGCATGTTCTATCTTTATTTTTATTTTTTTATTATGTTTTATTTACTATATATAAAGTAGGTTTCTGTTACACACTGTATAATTGGCTTTGATTTTATTTTTAATCCAGTATGACCATCTGTTTCTTAATTAATGTGTTAATACCTGTTACATTTAATATAATTATTGATATGGTTAGACATATCTACCCAGTTATTGTTGGTCTTTTAAAATCATTTTATTGGGGGCTCATACAGCTCTTATCACAATCCATACATACATCCATTGTGTCAAGTATATTTGTACATTTGTTGCCATCATCATTTTCAAAGCATTTTCTTTCTACTTGAGTTGGTATCAGCTTCTCATTTGTACCCCCTCTCTCCCCTCCACTCCCTCCCTCATGAACCCTTGATAATTTATTAAAAATTTTTTTTCATGTCTTACACTGACCGATGTCTCCCTTCACCCACTTTTCTGTTGTCTGTCCCCCTGGGAGGAGGTTACAGATTATTGTGATCTGTGCCCCCTTTCAGCCCCCACCTTCCCCTTCCCCTCCTGTTACCGTTCCTCTCAATATTATTGGTCCTGAGGGGTTTATCTGTCCTGAATTCCCTGTGTTTCCAGAACTTATCTGTACCCGTGTACATGCTCTGTTCTAGCCAGAAATTATAAGGAGAATGGGAATCATGATAGTGGGGGGAGGAAGCATTAAAGAACTAGAGGAAAGTTGTATGTTTCATCCATGCTATACTGCACCCTGACTGGCTCGTCTCCTCCCCACGACCCTTCTATAAGGGGATGTCCAGTTGCCTATAGATGGGCTTTGGGTCTCCACTCTGCACTCCCCCTCATTCACAATGATATGATTTTTTGTTCTTTGATGCCTGATACCAGATCCCATCAACACCTCATGATTATACAAGCTCATGTGCTGCTTCCATGTAGGCTTTGCTGCTTCTCAGCTAGATGGCCACTTGTTTACCTTCAAAAGTTTAAAGACCCCAGATGCTATCTCTTTTGATAGTCGGGCACCATCAGCTTTCTTCACCACATTTGCTTATGTATCCCTTTTGTCTTCAGCGATCTTGTAAGGAAGGTGAGCATTATAGAATGCCAGGTTAATAGAACAAAGTGTTCTTGCCTTGAGGGAGTACTTGAGTAGAGGCCCAATGTCCATCTGCTACCTTAGAACTAAACCTATAAATATATGCACATAGATCTATTTCCCCATCGTCATATATAAATATGCTTACAAATTTACATGCCTGTATTTAGACTCTATAAATGTCCTTTGCCTCCTTGTTCTTTCCTCTATTTCCTTTTACTTTCCTCTTGTCCCACTATCATGCTCAGCCTTCATTTGGGTTTCAGTCATTTCTCTTGGTTACATTGCCCTTGATCAAGCCCTACTGGGACTCCTACACCCTCCTCACCATAGATTTTTGGATCACTTTTTCCTTTGTCCCTGGGTTTGTTAACACCCACTTCCTTTCCCCCACCTCCCTCTCTCCCATATCCCCCCAGAACCATCAGTTTCTCCTCCAGATTGTTTATCCCACCTACTTTATCTAGATAGGCCTGCAGAGATAATAAAATGCACAAAAATAAGACAGAGCAAAACAGAGCAACAGAAGAAAACAAAACCAATGACAAAAAAGTAGAAAAGCCTATAAATAGTTCAAGGTCTCCCTGTCCGCTCTTCCAAGGAACACTCTGACTGTATTCTGGGTATGCATACGGTCTAGTGCACGTACCTTCAGGGTGTCTCACTCACTGCCACCGAGTTGATGTTGACTCATAGAGAGCCTAGAGGTGTACTGTACAGCTTAGTGAATTTTTAATCATGCATACACCTACCTGAACACAACACAAATCAAGACAGCAAGCATCTGCAGCACCAAGCTGATGCCTTTGAAGGCCCTCACCACCTGTGACTAGCAATTCCTTGCTGTCTCGCCGAGGCCGACTCTGGTGGCCTCATGTTTGCTGAGCAGAACTGCACATCGTGGCGTTTTCAAGGCTCTGACCCTTCAGAGACAGGTTCCCAGGTGTTTCTTCCAAGGTGCCTCTTGGGTGGGCTTGACCTGCCAGCTGTTTGACTCGTGGTTGAGCACGTAGCCATGCGTACTACCCAGGAACGCCTTCACAGTATGGTACCCCCTGCCGAAAATAACCACTCCGCAGATTGCTGTCAACGTAGATTACTCGTGCTTGTCTTCAAACTTGACGTAAATGAAATTATACTGTATGTATTGTTTTGCATCCATCCTGTCCAACATTGTGTCTGGAATTACCCACATTGTCCCACGTATCAGCGGCTTAGTTCTTTTATGACTGTATCAGATTTCATTGTGGGAGTGGTTCACCAGTTACCATTCTATAATCGATAGTGTAAGGACCCCTGGTGGCATTGCTTGTGATGAATTAGACTGCTAACCACCAGCAGTCTAAAACCACCAGCCGATCAGCGGAAGAAAGGAATCTTTCTGTTCCTGTAAAGATTGGTAGCCTCGGCAGCCCACACGGGCAGTTCTGCCTGGTTCTATGGCATCACTACAAGTCAGAATTGACTTGCTGGCAGTGAGTTTGGGGCTTGGGGGTTTTATGGTGGAGAGCCATCTGTATTTTATCTCATATTTGAGATCTGTAGTCTAGCTGGAGTTATTATGTGTCATGTTTCTCCACAAGGCTGTCCAGTTGACGCAGGGCTAGTTTTGCCTAAAACTGGCCTTCCCCTCTGCGTGGTGTACTCTGCTCACAAACCAGGTGGCTGTTACGGGGAGTCTGTCATGGGGTCTCTGTTCTTCTCTGTTGCTCTTTTCCTCTGCTGTGTCATTGTCACCTAGCCTTGATGACGTGGCTTTGTCCGTAGTGTATTTTGACATAGAACCTAGCAGAGTCGTTTCAGGACTTAATGGGATTATAGGCAATTTGATTTGACACCATGTAAATCAATTATCTGGAGAAGGGATTTCTGTTTTAGGCAAAAGGTTTTTGGGAAATTTGCCAGCCCACTTTCTCCTCCGTACAGTTGAGGTGTCCTACTTTGATGCTATAAATGCCCCTCCTACTTGCTTTTCTTTTTTTCAGCCAGCCTCCCCCTGGCTTCCCACTCCAGCCTAAAAAAGATGTGCTGTAACGTCTCTGATGGCACAGAACAAATTTTCTATTATGCTAATCTTGAACTTTAAGTAGCTTGAACATAATTTTGTTTCAGTTCTGGCTCTTAATTCTCCCTGTGTGTGTTCAAGTGTGCATCTCTTTATCACTTGAAATCGTTGGCTCTTTTGCTTTTTCACCCCAAGCATTAAGTTTTAAAACTCTTCTCAGTTATCATAAATATTTTAAAGGGTTTTTATTATACTTTTTAAGTGAAAGGTCTTCACCCATGGAATAGAGATAAGATATAGGAAGAAATGTGTTATGTGGCTTGAAACAGCAAGTTAAAGATGAGTGGAACTGAAATTTTTATCCCAATTGCTTCTTAAGTGGCTAATCTCTCCAAAATTATGTGTAAAGATTTACGTGTATCTGTAGACAGTGATTGACACTTGAGCGAGGAAGGGAGCAAGACCCTGGTTCCAAGTTTACCAAGCTCTCAGTTCTTCTCTTTCAAAATCTTGAGTCAAAATGTACCTGTAAGGATACACAGGAGTCACGTGGAAGCCGGCTCTCCGTGTCCTTTCCCGTCGAAACATACAGCTGTGCAGCTGGACAGCCGTGGCTGGTCAGGAGTCAGCAGAACATTCTTGTTTACTAAGGTGGTGAGGAAATGGCCTGGGCATCAGAGCTGACCTCAGGCTACACAGCTGGGAAGGAGACGCTCACTCCACTCCAGGCCAAGGCTGCGTCCTCCGAGGCAGAAGAGCCAGATACGCCTCCACCCTCCATCCTTCTTTCCTCTGTTCTGACATCGGCCATTCCGCTATGACATTCTGCTCTTCTTCTCAATGCAATCATGCGCTGCGGTGGCCAGCCAGAACTCACAGGCGATGGTCGTGGTGCTGGAGGTTTATTAGCGAAGCTAACAGGTTACGGATGGGTCAGGATCCAGTTCTTTTGTCTGCCGTACCTTTCTCATCCTCACTGGTGAGACTGTTTCTGGCCTTTCAGACGTGGTCCTTTGGCCTCTGCCTCTGGGGGCCAGGAAGGCCACCCACTGCTCTGCCTCCCAGTCTGTCAGCAACTCTGTTCTGACCTGTGGTCTCGGTGCCACTTCAGGACCTTCCTTCTTGGTGGTCCTGGGTGCCGATCCCTGCTTCTGAGACCACTCTCTCTTACACCAGCAGAACGGTCTAGCTGGCCAATTCGCGAGTCAGAGGCCTCGGCACTGTATTCGGGGGCTCTCGCCCAGTCACCGGGAGGGAGTTAAAAGAGAATCCACACAAGAGACTGGTAAGCAGTTTCATTCACCACCGATGAGTTGGAGGAGCCCTGATGTCCGTAGGGACGAAGCATTCCACTAGTCATCAAAATGTCGGCAGTTCAAACCCAGCAGCCGCTCAGTGGAAGAACGATGTGGGAGTCGGCTTTCATAAATACTTAGTCTTGGAAGCCCTGTGGGGCAGTTCTACTCTGTCCTGTAGGATCACTATGAGCCAGAATCGGCCCAACGGCCATGGGGAGGGTTTGTTGTTGTTGTTGATTGAGGGGGTGGAGGGAATGGTTTAAAATGTATTAATATTTTACCCCAACATGAAGTTGAGGGGGAAACAAAAACAGGCAGATTAAAAAAAAAATCAATTTATTGAG